GGGTGAAGGATGGGTGCGCGCTGCGAGAGAGCCCTAAACGCGAGGTTTCGGTTACGTCGAAGCGACGCGGCGCGAGCGCCGAGGGTCACCGCCGAGGCGTGATACGATCGCGCGCCGCCGCCCGCCACGCCGGCCAGCCAGAGGGGCAGCGCCGGTGGGGCGGGACCGCAGCCTTGCCAGGGCACCTCACGCGACTGAACACCCCAAAGGGATTCACCGGCCGCACTTGGTACTCCATCCGTGCCCTTCATCGAAAACGTAATTTACCCTGGAACGAGCGTGCGCAAATATTCTTATTGCGAAGGCTTAGTTGAAAGAGAAGTTGTTGTTTGGAAATAATTTGTTTTAAAGTTTGGATTAAATAATCCTTACCGTAGAAAAAACCTTCAGAAATTTCAAATATTTAAAATTAATCATTGAGTGTGAGAGACATTGTGCAATAAGTAGTCTGATGACTCTAGAATCAAATTGATACACTCACTACGGTAATGGACACTCGTACATACAATATTGTTTATAACAGTAATGCCCCTGTCGTAATATTCCGTTCTATACGTTGGAAATAGTTCTGCTACTGATATTGTAAGGCAACCGCAAGCAATCTTAAACCACGAGTTCCACAAACATTCTATTCCTCATGTTGGCTTTGCGTCTTTCATCACGCATCGCTTTGGTTCAACTTCAGACGGCGCCGTTTCTCATCGAAGTTGCGTACCGACCAGTGGCGGTAAATTCAGAGATGTTTGCGTTTATCGCGATCCTCTTCTCTTGATGAACGAGGGTTTGCGCAAGCCCCCACGCGCGCGTGTGTTCCCGTGTACCTCTGCACGGTCGGGCCGCCGGTCATCCTGCTGGGCCACGAGAATAAATCCAGGCATTTTCGTCCACTGGAGTGTCTTATGCAGTTAGCCCGCCCCGGGTTCCGCTTTTATTGGGATTTGCTCCCTGTCGAGGTTTGAGGAAGTAAGCAAAGAAGTAGAAAAGTAAGGTCTGATTCAGAGGTTTCTTTCAGTGGTCAACTTTTCCGAGAAAGAATGTTTCATTGCTATATTTGTAAAACAATACATATTTTTTCTTTAGTTAGTTTCTAATGTCATCAAGTTCATATGTCGGAGTCGGAAGATACAATATTTATCGGAAAATAGTGATCATTGTAATTGAAAACGAGTGCTTTCAAAAATAGCTTTGAACGAAATAACAATTCTGTCACAGACAGTCTATTAACCGTTATCAGTTATTACGTCTTTGATAGAATTTCCAATATTAAACAATAAATTTTTATAGTGATTGAATTGTGTTCGCTGTAAAAAATTATTCTTAATAAAAAGTACGACCCCTGAAGGTATTTTAATTTACGCTAATTTTACCCTAAATTGGGCAATACAAGAATTTATGTCCGAATGATTTAGCGACTGTCTCTCGACACATGTTTACACGAGGAAGCGTGAGCGTCTCGAATCTCGTGATATGTGTCATTGTCGGCGACGGCGCGCTCCCTGCAGGGGGCCCACAGCAATATTTTAGATCGCGACGGCGAACGTGGGAACGCAGCCCGCGTCGGCCCTCGACGCCCCGCGAGGCTCTGCGCCCGGGCCTGGCGCTCGGCCGTGGCGATGCCCACAAAGGGACGCCTCGTGGCCGCGCGACGCGTGTTCTGGTGTTCGAAGCCGCTTGCCGACGCCACGCCGCGCCACGCCGCGCCACGCCGCGCCGCGCCTCACGCGGGCGCGAGGGCGCGCGAGTGGCTTTTAAGTACGTGGTAGGACACAGACGGCCGGATAAAGCGCGTGGACGCTCCGTCTGGGCGGATTCTCATTTTACTTATTTTCATTCACAGGAAAGAACGGTAACCGGTTTTCGCCGGGAAGGGGGGAAAAAGACGAAGAAAATGAGAGAAAAAAAGTAAAGTTAGTCTCTTCGCTTAAAAATGTAGAGGTATATACGTAAGCATTTCTTCGGAGTCTTTGTCTGGAGGGTGGCTGCAACGTGACCGACGTGCTTGGCTACCGCGGCGAGTGAGAGACACGGATGCGACGCCGTCGCTAAACGCGCGCACGACGCGACTCTATCGCGGCGGCGGAGGCGGCCGCGTTCACGTGGACGCGCGCCCGCGCCGCCGCGGCGACCGAACCCGCGACACTTTTATCTAACGCGGCCCATCACCGCTTTCTTGTGTTGCAGGAGCCAATGGCTTGCGCAGGAGAGGCCGCCAGACGTACACCCGCTACCAGACGCTGGAGCTGGAGAAGGAGTTCCACACGAACCACTACCTGACGCGGCGGCGGCGCATCGAGATGGCGCACGCGCTCTGCCTGACCGAGCGCCAGATCAAGATCTGGTTCCAGAACCGCCGCATGAAGCTGAAGAAGGAGATTCAAGCGATCAAAGAGCTCAACGAGCAGGAGAAGCAGGCGCAGGCGCAGAAGGCGGCGGCGGCAGCGGCGGCGCGGCGGCGAGCGGCGCGCAAGCAGCAGACAAGGGAGCGCGCGACCAGAACTAGCTGCCCCCCCGGGGGGCAGGCGCGGTGCCGACGTGGCGGCGGCGGCGGTGCGGCGGCGGCGGCGCGGCGGAGCCGCGGCGACGCCGCGCCCGCGGACGATGCGCGCCCGCCCCGCCGTCGCCCGTCCGCCCGCCCGCCCCCGCCCTGCCCGCCTCCTGCGTGGGGCCTGCCACTGACAGGTAGACCGCACCGCCGCGGAAGCAGCCTGCTTCGCGGCTCGCGAGGGGCTCCACGCGCCTACTCATCTCAACGACAGGGTTATTTTGCATTTGTGTTTTGACGAGTGGCATATATTTAGGAGATTTCTCAGTATCTGCGTAGCTGCAATTGGGAGAAAGTATTGGATAAGTAGAGATCAGGAAGCAGTTCACTATATTGTTATAAAAGTTTTGTTTTTTTTTAAAAAACGAGAGTCGCGAGAGCTTTTTGAAAAAGTTATCTCTATGTCTCACACACCTTCAATTTTAGTACCATTTCATTTTAAATAAATACTTAATGAAACATATGTTGCCAATTTGAAATAAAAGTTTTGAAGCAACGGTTTGAAAAAAAACAGTATGTATCTGTTAACAACACAGGGATTGTTTTAGTTCCCATCCGCGTTGCTTCCGTAGACCAAATTATGTAACTTGATCTTTCGTTGCTTCTGACTCAAAGAAGAAGAGTTACAGATGCGATGTGTCGTGGAGAGCCCTATTTGCCTACTTTCTCCCAATTTAGATATCTCTATGTTACCAATTGTTTTCACAATGTGACAACCGCAAACGTTGGTATATATATTTATTTTTAAAATTTGCCGGTCACATATGTCATTTCGCAACATTTAAGATACTTTAAAGATTATTAACGTAAAATAAAATGTTTTAGTCAGACATGTTTATATTTTCCAAATTCCTGCCACTATCGTGAGTTTTCTTACAAACACTTTAACTAGTTTTGAGCAGAGCCAAAAACCTGTTTGGAAGAAAGACTGGAATGTTATCGCGTGGAGCCCTGAGGCGGAGCGTTGGAAGTGTTGCTTATGTTTGGTGTTGGTGTTCTTGCTACCGCTACTAATGTTCGACTTGTATGGTATTATATATCCACGTGCCTTCATGTTTAATGTTCAAGCTGATCAAGTTACGTTTGCAATTTCATTCGAGGTTGTTACCTGCTGGAATACAAATTTACGCTTCTTCATTTTCAGTAGAGAGAAAAAAAACGTACCTGCGCATGAAATTCAAAACGTTATCATCTTATTTGTTGCGTTCTTGTTTCGGTTCTTGAGTGAATCCCTACTTTTGTCAGTAACGTGTGTACTCGGGTTCATGCATGTAAATTTATTATCTCGATAATTCCATCCGACCAATGCCCGGTTGAGCGTTTACCCGCATTAGAAATGCACTTCTTCATTTACATAAATCGAGCGGAAGAACCAGTTGGAGCATGCGCAGCGGGGCGCGCGGCCGGGGCTGAGGTACGCGCTCGGGTCGCGAGGTGAGCCGCGACGGTCGTCGACCCGCGGACCGCCCGCACCTGTCACGCGCTGCCCCCACCCCCCACCCCCGCGAACCGCTCGTCAGTGTGTCGTACGCCCACGGCTGTCGCCAGTTGGACGTTTAGACTCACCACGGTACTCAACAAGTAACACGTTAATCCAGAGACACCTTTTTAATTGATTATTATGACAAATGTGGCGGTCATTGGTAGCAAAGAATATGCCAATTATTCGCTGTAAGAAATTGTAGTTTATGATCATCCGATTTTCCATAAAGTAATATTATTTTGTATTTGTACTTTTGTAATAACAAAAACACTCTCCTGAATTAATAATTATTCAGAATCATTCAATGTTATGACCACCAATTAGCATGTAGGGAAATATTCAATACGTTTGAAATATGATTCGCTAACAATTTTGATCGAAATAAATAAATTAACTTCTTTTTAAATAGCACTGTAGTGTGTAAGAAACCGACACATTTTTACTCTGACAGCGAGCTTAATAATTCGAAGAAAAATTTAAAATATTTTGTTGAATAGAACCATTTCATTTTTTTAGTTTTGCAATGCATTTTATGTTATTTCTTGATTAACATTCCGTAATAGCATGTCGGAAGTGCGTCCTCAGCCGATTTTAAGCAAGTGATAAGGGTCGCGAAGTGCGTGTCCCGTTGCGGCTTCCTGGAAGGCCGTAAGTCCGTCCCCGCGAGGCGTCGGACGGCGCCTGAGTGTCGCCCCCCGCCGCGGCGGAGATCGCCCGCGATGGCGGCTCAGATATCCGACGACGATGCGCGGAATTCTGCCTCTCTGGGAGGAGTGTGCGAGCATGCGTGCTTCAGCGGTAACAAACACCTTGACGGCCAACTGGCACTAGCGTCTTGATCCAGCACTGATAGGGACACCATTCAGCAACATGAAAAAGTTACGGTATTTAATGAGCTCTGCGTACTGTGTTATGTTTCTGTTATTTCTTGTTAAATTGATGCATGCTTGTTTTGCAGTGCTTTTTGTTATGTTTTGTAACGACGTCATACATTTTGTTATGTTCTTTAGTTTTGTAAGTTTGTTTTCTTATAGCATTTTTTTCAATATTCTGTGTAACTTCAACGGTTTTAAAAATAAAAGAAGGTACCTTTGCAGCAGATATATTTTGTAGTCATTAATCATCCTCTATTTTTTCTTGCTTAGACTATCACTAGTAAAATGAATAGATACCAGCATTCAAAGAACTAAACTTAATGAATTGCTGTTTTTTTATGACAGAAACACAGATTAGATTCGAATAGACAAAATGAAAATTTTTGTTTTTTAATTTGAAATAATGTTTTATTAATCAATGACAATTTGTATCGAGGCTATATTTTTAACGATACTACTGAAACATCTATATATGTTGGTACTGCAGTTATTTATTGCAGTTTTAATGGTATTTAAAGGAATCACATAATACAGGCATTTGTAAGATCGTCTTAGAATTATAAGCATAACTTTTGACCTCCTGAATTTTCATCTTAGCTACTTATATTGTTCCGAAATACTAGGCATAATCTTATTTTTTGTTGTATAAATATCAGATCTTTAGATATTGAATTCACCTTACATTGAAGACATGACCTACACTAAAAGTACATGAAGCGCAACAAAGAGATACACAAACGACAAAAAAAAGTTCACAGATTCTCCTATTAGAAGTATTTTGAGGCATTTCACCAGATTAAAAATCTTGTGAAATTAACTGTAATTTTTATAATGTGTTCCATTAACGACCAGAGCACTTTTTATACACTGAGTACTGGTGATTGTATCTCACAACATCCTATAGATATACTCCGGCAAGGAAAGCCAAATTAAACAGTGTTCAAGTCACCTTTCTTTCCACAGAACGTGTGAGCAGCACGTTCTCGTGGGTAACCTCAGGATGGGAGCTCTCGGTCGAAGAAGCTCCAACGTGCCCCTACCGAGGGCGGACGCCAGCTCCTCGGGCACCGTCAGAACGGCCACCAGCCTCACGTTCCCCGTCGGCCACCGCCCTCCCCTCCCCGCCCCGCCCCGCGCCGCCCCGCGCGCTCGCAGGGCCCATTACCCGCCGGCAGCGATTACGCTGTAAAAGTCGAAAGACTTACTTACCCCGCGCTTTCGTAAATTACATAATAACACGGCGTGCGCAAACAGTTCGATCAAGCGCGCGCCTTTATAATCCGATTCCCCGGGCCGAGATTACAGGCGCGGCGCGCGCCTGCCCGCCGGGTCGAGGCCCGGGATCGATCCTCGGCCCGCGGCCTCGCGCGTAGTTTATCGACGCGCGAGAATCGATCGTATCGAGAATTAGCGGCCATCGCGCGGCGTGACGCCAAGCGGCGGCTGCGGCTGTTCCGGGCCCCGGGCGATGACCTCGTTGCCGCCGACGGCCGCGACCCCGCCGGGGTCACCCCACCCCACCACCCGAGCCCTAAGGCGGAGGCTGTTACCACGTGCTTAGTTAAGCTGGCCCTTTGTTCTCCTCTCACGTTCTCTTTCATTCGCGTGCCGAGTTGTCGATCGTTCTACTAAGATAAGCTGCAGGGTCACTGGAAAATTCGTTCGTCTAGGTTCATGTCAACACTAGACTAAAAAAAGAAAGTTTTTCCATTGTACTTAATTATCTCAATCTTACTGTTTTGTTTACTTCTTTCCATTTTTGTCTGTACTACAGAGAAGGCCACACATTTGATAAATAATGCCTTAACATTTACCTTGAAAATTGGAAATCGGAGAGACAGTGTTTTATAAATTTAAACATAAAAGCATATAATTTGCTTTAGTTTTTCTGATTACATTTAAAATCACATTTCTTTTTGAACAATCCAATGCTCTACTTATATTTCTTACACGCTTATATTTCAAATAAAACAATGAAACACAAGGTTTGTTGTGTCAATGAAGTGAAGTGAGTTGTTAGGGTTGGCGGCAGCCATACAATTTAAATATGGTACATTAAGACAACCTGGAAAAGTTCATCACCTCCCAAGATGAAACATGGTACATTGATCATTACATGAAGGTGGGTTATAAATATGAAGACGATGTGTTCTAGAGACCTGTTTGTTCTTTGTCTATACTTTTATGGACTTGTTTAACCGAGGTAGATTTTTAAGCCAAATTTGCCCCAGTATATTATGGAACAGTCTGACTTTAATTATAGGGGTGATCGGATCTCTCTTTTTTCGTTGCCAGCTCATAAAGGTATGCAGAAACGGTGGAACAAAATGTTTTATTGAATACCTTTGCTCCTAGTCGATAAATTCTGTATTTGGCGTGGATCTGCCTTTTAAAAATATGAGGAGAATAATCCAGGGCGATGTTTGCCAACTCGAGGTGATGTCTAAGGGAATATGCGAGCAAACAAATCAGCAGTATTTCAGCCGTTTTTGCGGGAGGTTTCCCGAAAAACCAGACAGCCTAATTGCTCGCTGCATATTTTCCCGG